GAGGCCCCAATTTTCACCAAATCTCCCCAATCACTCAAATGCGAAAGTCCCAATGGATAACCAACCAAAACCACAGTCTTGTTCGCTGCGAATGAAGGGGCGTGTCCGGAAGGGTTTAGGCGCGGCGCCAAACCCGTTTTCCGCCAGTTGCGGAAGCGAACGAGCGACAAGACTGTATCATATAGTCCGTGTCAGTCTTTTTCCACCCAACTGTTGTAGCTTAACCGCTTCAACAACTGGTAGATAACAAGTTTGGCACCGCGCCAAACCCATGGTGCCGGACACACCCATTCATCCGCGGCAAATTCGACTATACACACCGTCATGGGTAACTGTGTATATCATTTCGATTAATTTTGATTTTTACTAAATCGGTGGCGATTCCGGTATCAGTGACAATTTCGATAAAAGCAGAAAAACCAAAGGATTGCGTCTCACCAACACTTCTCCTCGAGCCTTCCGAGCACCGAAGACTTTCGCCCGAATAAGGCCTTGATTGGATGGCGTCTGAAGGAATTTCACCATACCCCACTGAGGATGTTTCCTCTGATAGTCAGCAGCTTGAAGGGACGCTTCGGCTGGAAAAAAATTCTATTACTCTAACCGAGAAAACACAGCAAACCACAAAAAAGAATTTGGAGAACCCTACGTTCAAAGATTTTGAAAGAACAAAAATTAGATCAGTAATTTTTGAGCGAAGAAAATGAGACTGGACTTACGCCATTCACTGCCATCATCGATTAATAGGATCTCCTGAATCAAATCCAGAGGTGTTCGATCAATAATCGAGTTAACCATACGTATCAACACCGAGGGCGATTCGTTGAAGTAACAGACGATGATACTCGCTCGTGGAAGCGACGTCATGAACGTGTGAGGACATCTACAATGTGGTAGTAGTTTTGCCTGTCAAATAATCTTGTAAGAAAAAGGAAGAAGGGATTAGAAGTTAGAAAACTAAAAAGATAAATACATATATTACTCTAATTCAGGAATAATAAAAGATGAGGATAAGCGAGGTTGCAACCAAAAATGATCATGGAAAATAATTCCAATCTAAACAACAATAATCCTTCTTTTGTTATCGAATTTCTGGGCACAGTTCGGCGACGAGGGAGGGGGAATTTTGCACTTTTGATACTTCCCATCGACGTGTCGACCATCTAGACAGCCTCTTCTCGAGTTGACAGGTTTTACCATGATGGCTTGACGAGCTTGCTCCAGCTTCACAAGAGTTCACAGGTTTCACCAGAGTGAGACTTGTAAACCGGAACTAGTGAAGCAACGAAAGTGCAAAATGCCCCTCCATCGTCGCCGAACTGCGCCGATTTCTGGTGACATTTGTTAACCCTACGCAACGCACGGAAATTCCTGCAGTTTGCTTCACAGCTCCGGAGCTCATATCGCTCAAATATTAGCACGAAACAGAACCCAGTGAGGGTCTTTACGATCGCTCAATCAGGTTAACTCTAGATGAACTTCCTTCCTAGAGCAGATGCTGAGCAGAGCTAATGAACTGGACTTTCTGCCACCGTCCACCCTCACCACAGGTGAGTGTCAATTTCTCTAGAGATACATCCGGGGCCAGCGTGAGAGGAGCAGTACAATTCATCTATGAAGAGCACAACTCGCAGCGGCACAGAATGTGCTTTGCCACTTGAATGTGCAGCGGCGCTAGGAGTCTGCGATGACGGGAAACTCCGCCGCCCTATTAAAGTAGGAGCGATTACTACGATGTAGCGCTGTAGTGTTCCCGTCCTTGCTGCGCATGTGAGGTGTGCGGATCTTGCCTGCGGCTGTCTGGACTCTCTCCGCGCGGTGAGCGTCTCTGCGTCTCTAGTCACGTTCACGCGCCATGCGCCTCTTGCTTCGTCCAAATTTGACGTGTCTGAGGTTTTTCGTCTACGATAACGGGCGAAACGGATCATCTGTGATGTTGAGTGTATTCCTTTCCCCAATATTTGTTTTTCTTTGTTTCTAATTGTAATAAGCTCGAGGGCTGAAAATGGACCGGGCCATGGACTGGATCATATCAAGCCCTGGACCGGGCCATACCACGCCATACCGCGTATGGCCTGGTCCGTTTTTGACAATTTCTTGTGCTCCTTCAACTCACTTATGGGCTGACTAGCACATGCAGATTCATGCTTGGACCTCACTACAGGTGACATGCAACCGTAGCGGAAAGTGTTCCC